CTTTGGGACCCATTTTGCCTGGCCAAGGAACCAAGAAGCATCCTTAGCATCTGATCTGACTGCCTTTCTTCCTGGCTTGTCGTCACTTGAGATGTTCCTCTGATTCCCACTCTTCTCTCCTTTTGCTCTGGTTTGGAGAACTGAATATCTCTTGTGGCTTCAGATATCAGTAACTTTTCCCTTGCATTTATATCTTCATCCCCAAGGCCCCCTGGAGCCCCCTGGATCTGGATCGTTCATTGTTAGATGCCTAGAGTATTCTCAGGGTTCTTTGATTGCAAGCCACAGACACTGTGGCTAAAGCAAAATGGTGAAGGAAAAGCTGAAGAACGGGCCACAGAAAGAACAGCAGCCAAGGACATTTCTGGGGGTCCTGGTGCAGGATCTTTAGGAACCCCCCCACTTGGCGTGACCCAGCTCCCACCATCTCCCAACCACGTGTGACTCTTCAGGATTCCCATCCTTCTCTGATTGGCAGTCCCACCAGGACTGCACACAGTGGGAGAGAGGATGAGCTCCCCAATGGAAAACTGGGGCTCTATCACCTGAAAGAGAGGACATGGGTCCTGGGGAGGCAGAGACACCCTTGTCCACTGTCTACACCTGTGACAGGAGCGAGAACTAAATGAGTTTAAAACCGAGGTCTTTGTCCTCCCTTCCAAACCTCTGCCCCCAATTTTCCTAGTTTCTCAAGGGCCCCCCATCTTTCTCTCCCAGGCCCCCAAATGTAAAACGTCTCACTCATTAAGTCCTGATGACTCCTTCAGAACATTTCTGGGATCCACAGACAGAATGTGACAATGAGGGGCGCCTGGGCAGCTCAGTCGGTTAAGGTCTGCCTTCGGCTCAGGTCATGATCCCAGGGTCCTGGGATCAAGTCCCACGTCGGGCTCCCTGCTTAGCGGAGAAGCCTGCTTCTCCCTCTCCCACTCCCCCTGCTTGTGTTCCCTCTCTCACTGGCTCTCTCTTTGTCAGATAAATAAATAAAATCTTTTTTTTTAAAGGTTTTATTTATTTATCTGACAGAGACACAGCGAGAGAGGGAACACAAGCAGGGGGAGTGGGAGAGGGAGAAGGACAACAGTAACTTTTCCCTTGCATTTATATCTTCATCCCCAAGGCCCCCTGGAGCCCCCTGGATCTGGATCGTTCATTGTTAGGCTGCCGAGCAGGGAGCCTGATGCGGGACTCGATCCCAGGACCCCGGGACCATGACCTGAGCTGAAGGCAGACACTTAACGACTGAGCCACCCAGGCGCCCCAATAAATAAAATCTTAAAAAAAAAAAAAAGAATGTGACAATGAGAACGGCACAGGTAGCCTGTCCGTGCCAGCCCCACACCTCTCCCCGGGATGAGGTTGAGGTGTTCTTTTTCAGAGCCAGGTCTGTAGCAGTGATCAAAATAGATAAAGCCCCTACCTTCATTGGAGCTCACTTTTTAAAGGAGGGGAAAAGGCAGACAGTACACAAAACAGGCCCATTTAGAAACATCAGATGGTGATACTTAACTGGGAGAAAAATAAACAGGATAAGGGATAAGGGCAGGGAGGAGGAGAGGGTTTATATTTTAGGAAGAAAACCAGGAAAGCACTCACTATCACCCTGAGATTTGCGCAGAGAAGGAAGTGAGTGAGGGAAAAAGCTTTGCAGTTATTTAGAGGAATGTTCCAGACCTGGGGCTGGGGGGCAGGGGGGCTGGGGGTAGTGGTGTGCATACAGCAAGCACAAAGGCATATTCAAGGAACAGCAAAAAGGTCAGTATGAGGACAGAAGAGCAAGTGGTCACAGCGGCCAGATGATGGAGGGCCTTCCTGGTCACTATAAGGACTTTGGCTTTTATCCTGAGTGAGATGGGGAGCTGTTGGAGTGGTGGTGTGCTGGTAAACATTCAACAACCAGGACTGGAGGGGAGGGGTGCTGATTTGTAGTATTTGCCAATTTCCATGGTATAATACTTGCACCATGGCTGATTTCAAGCTACCTAAGGCTTCACAACCAACTCACAAATACCCTGAAATTGTAACAGTCAGCTCTGGGGAGCTGGATTTGGAGCAGAGGAGTGAAAGGATCTGACATTTTAAAAGTCTTCCTCTGGCTGCTTTGATGAGACAAGACTGTGGGGCAGGTGGGCAGAAGCAGGGCGAGCAGTGAAGAGGTTATCACGGTCGTCTGGGTAAGAGATGATGGACCCTCAGAAGGTCCAGTGGCTCAATGACGTCAGGGACAGCATTCCTGCAATTTTCTTAACCTTTTCTTCTCATTGACAAAGTGGCTGCCACTTCTCCAGCACTAAAACCCAAGGTCAGGGAATGGAGGTAAAGCCAATAATGTCTGTCTTTTGTATTGGGAAGGAATAAGTTCTCCCAGAACTTATTCTGGGAGCCCCTAGAAAACTTCTCGATTTTGTTGGCTCTACCAGTGTCTGTAGCCACTCCTAACTCTAAAGGAGGTTGAGAAGTTGAGCATTGAGTGTTTCTGGCCACCACAGTATAAGGAAGAGGAAAGGAGATTGGGGTGAGGATGGTGCCTGCAAAAAAGGGGTGTGGCCTTATAAGAACCTACTACAAGAATTTGACCAAGTCTAGAAGCCGGGGAATGAGGAAGGGACACCTGAACTGAGCTCTGAGTACAAAGAATTAACTTAGCAAGGATGAGGGGGAAGAGGGCACGTGGGTGGCTCAGTCATTAAGCGTCTGTCTTCGGCTCAGGTCATGTTCCCAGGGTCCTGGGATCGAGTCCCATGTTGGGCTCCCTGCTCCGCATGAAGCCTGCTTCTCCCTCTCCCGCTCCCCCTGCTTGTGTTCCTGCTCTCGCTGTGTCTCTCTCTGTCAAATAAATAAATAAAATCTTTAAAAAAAAAAAAAAAAGATGAGGGGGAAGAGTGTCTCAAGAAGAAAAAACAGCATGCACAAAGGCCCTGAGGTGGAAGGTTTATAATATCCCAACTTACCTACCTGCCACCAACCCTTTCCCTATAAATCATCCATTATGACTGTTCTTTCTCAAAAATCTGATTTTATCCTGTTACTTGTTTCCTGAAATCAAAATGGATCCCAATTTCCTACAAGATAAACTCCAAAGTCCCCAGTCTGCTGTTGAAGGCTGGTCATGACCTCAACCTATTCTGTGACTACAGCTTCATGCCCTTCTTCCTACAGACGTTGAACCTTCATGTTTGCATGGTTCACATTTCAAACTAGGTTATAAACTCTGGGAGAACAGGAACCATACCTTGCATCTCTTTTCTATCCCCAGGGGCTCAATAAATGCCCGAATAGATGACTGCGGGGATGATCCTTGTTGCAGGGATCAGGAGCAGACGTAAGCAGACCAGTTAAGAAGCTCTTTATTCATCCAAGGGAGAGATTATAAGGCCCTCGCTCAGTGGCAGAGAGGCTGCCAAGAACAGAAGGACTGGGAGCTGTCAAGGAGAGAACACTGGGAGAACAGGGGCTGGGAAGTGGGGGGTAGGGAGAGTCGGGGGGGCACTCGGGTTTCCGGCTCGAGCAATTAGGGTGGTAGCATTGCCAGTCATCAGGACGAGGGATAAAGAAGGAGCAGGGTGAGGGATGGGGACATGGTGGGGGTCCCTCTTAGACATGGTACATTGGGAGGCCCAGCCAGTACTGAGCAGGTACATCCGGATCTCCAGCCAAGCCCAGACACTCAGACGAGGAAATCACCAGAGTCCTGGACTTGAGATCTCAGTTTCCCTGGGCTAATCATGCTAGTTATTGTTTACTGAGTACTCACAATGTCCAGGCCCTGTGCTAGAAACTTCCCATGGAATCGTAGGATCCCTGTTTTATGGCCGAGGAAGCCCAGGCTTAGGGGGATTAGACAGCCAGCCCCAGGTCCCCCAGCAAGGGTCTGAACCCAAGCAGGGCTACCGAAAGCTAGTACTCAGCTGTCGTGCCATGCGGACTACGTCACAGAATGATCTCTGATTTGCTGCCATACATTTTTCTGAGCGTCTTTAATTTTAAATAAGCCTTTTATTTTGTAATAATTGTAGATTTACAGAAAAGTTGCCAAGATAGTTCAGGATTCCCAAATGCCCTTCATTCAGCTCCCACAATGTTAACATCTTAAATAGCCGTGACGTGTCCATCACAAGCAAGAAATTAGCATTGGTACAATGCTGCTAACCATGCCACCAGCTTGGTTTGGATCTTATGTTGTCCTACTAGTGGCCATCTTCCATTCCAGGATCCAATCCAGGATACAACATCGCGTTTAGTGAAACAGGTTTTAAAAATTGTGTTTCCAAGTCCTTGTTCATCCCCACCCTGATGTTCGCCATCCACACCTAAAAACCAGTGTGGAGGTGCTATGCTGGCCCTTGTCCCATTTGCTCCCAGCTGCATCGTTTGCTCGGCCTCGGGCTGCTGACACCTGCAGGCTGCAGTGGCCCCCGCTCCTTGGGAGCTGTAGCTCCTGCTCGACAGGAAATGGCTGTGGTTCCAACTTCCCCCAGGGTGACCTTTGTCCCCAAGCTCCCCACCACCTCTTTCTGTGGTGGCCTCCTGCATTGACATTGGCTGCATGGCTTTTCCCCTTCCCTGGTTAGCCTCTCAACTCTTTCCATCACCCATGTAACTCGGTTTCTGTATTTAGATGCTTTAAAAAAAAAAAAAAAGTCCACTAGCATTGACTTTTATTCATTCCTGTGAAGTCGCCTGAAATGATATCTGTTGCATTTAAATGCTCATTACTGTAAACGGCTGAACACATCCATTTCAGTGGGTACTTAACGTCGTCCATAGTTAAGTCACTTCAACAGAATGGTGTTCCCTGCCTGACCCCTCTCCACTTGGTCCTCCCACCCTTGCAGCCCGATGCCGTCACAAAGCTAGAAACTGCTTTCGGTGCGAGGTTCTGCGTACTTGCGGCAGGGCACCTGGGATGAACTCAGCGTCGACTGTGTGTGGCTGCCGTGGCCACACCAGCCATATCCTCACAGCACGGCTCGACTAACCACTCACTCCTTCTTCCGCAGGGTCGCCAGAGACAATAACAGCCGGAGACTGGTGCCGCCGAGGGCATACGGAGGCAAAGAGACGGCTCAGAAAATGGCTCTAGATGTCCTCGGGGTGGCCCCTCTCTACCAGGGCCCCGACATCAACAGAATGAGGCTGACAGCAGAGCCATCCAAGAAGCCAGCCTCCCTGCTAAAACCCTTGGTCCCCTCTAAGTCCAAACTCACCACCATTGAGACCAAGAGGGTCATGTCCGTACTGGATGAGACCATCCACAAGGTGGAGCTGGTGACCCTGCTGTCCGATGTGAGTGCCAATTACGAGACTCTGGAGGGGATGCTGGGGGAGGACATCATGAAGGCCGTGAGAGAGCACGAGAAGATCTGCCACAGCCTCCTGGACAGTGTCGCTTACCTGCAGGAGAAAGAAAGGCGAATGCAGGAGGAAGAAGAGTTTGAGGAAGAAGGGTGGCTCAGAGACCGCTTCCTCTCCAAAGAACTGCAGAAATCCCACCTCCTGCCCCTTATGCAACAGATCAAAGAATCCACCAAGGACATCCTGAGACTCTTGCTCAATAACCCACAGGTGGTGAGGCTCTTGCAGAAGCACACCCTGAGCAGGAGCGCTGAAGCCCAGAATTTCATTGATTGCCTGATAGAACTGCGGGCTTTCCTGTTCGAGAAGCTACTCACTAGTCCCGTGGAAGCTAGAGACAAGACTCAGTTCATACAGGATATCAACAGACGGAACAGGAGGAACCAAGAAATCATTGAGACTCTTGAAAACGAATTGGCGGCGAGCATGAAGAGCAGGGACACAGAGGTACGGCTTTATGGCATTGGTCAGGTTGTGGAAGGAGCCGCACGGAGGAGCCAGACCTTTTGGCAGTTGGGCTTTTTTCCTCAGTGATTGAAATGCCTGCGGTCATTCATTCACTCAACAAATGTTGTGAACACTTGCCAGGTACCAGGTCTTATGCTTGAGTCCACATGGCCGCCGCCTCATGCGAGGTAGGTCTTAAAGAGCTGATTTCATTACAGTTTTGAGAAGTACGACGAAGGATAAGCATAGAGTGCTAGAAGACAGTGCCGCAAGGGAACCGAGCTTAGACCCAAAGGGCCAGAGGCGTCAAAGCCAACACAGGAAGAATGAAGGGGAGCGAGGAAGGCAAGAGAGGGCGGCAGGAAGCTGCCAGGCCAGCAGCGGGCAAACTTTTTCCACGGAGGGCTGGATAGTAAATACTTTAGGCCTTGCCCGCAGATCACGTCGTGCCTTTTAGGCCTGATCAAAGAATGTCACCTCTGTTTTGAGGATGAGGGGCAGATGGGACCGGTGGAAGCTCTAGAAGAATTTTTAAGAAGGGAAATGATAACATGATCCCAACCTAATAACCATTTGGGCCATAAGACTATGTATTATGCTTTACGTACATTTTCTCACTAAGGCCTTACAAAGTCCCTGTGAGGTGGTGTCTAAGTATAGGTCTGGCTGCCGAGACAGAGACCCAAAATAATAGTGGCTTAGTCAAGATGGAAATGTATTTCTCTCTAGTAGAAAAGCTGGAGCAGGCACGGAAACCCTGCCTCGTGAAATTGTCGGGGGTCCAGGCTTCTTCTGTCTGACCTTTCTGCTGTGTCCCCCACAGGACTTCTAACTGTGGACCCAGAAGCCCCCCATCATGTCACCACTGGTCCAGCCAGCAGGTAGAAGAAAGAGGAGGAAGGCCCTGATCTTTGCTGGTGGAAGTAGCCCACCGCACAGTTCTTAGCCATACCCAGTGGCTAGGGATGCTGGGAAAGGTGTTCTTTCCCTGGGGCCACGTTCCCAGGGAAGCATTCTGCTCCCCAACCTTTCCAGGGGCGGGGGGGATGGATCCTGAGGGGCAGCCAGCCAGAGCTGCCTTGGACACTTCCACCTTCATCCCCCCCATGATGCACAGAGCTCGAGGCCCTCCGAAGCTACGTGCCGCCCTCCCTCCCCCACGCACTGGCTCAGGCCATCCCCCCTTCCTTATGTTCTCACTGACTTTGTCCTTTCAGACATTCATCAGAGTATGTTGATAAATGTTTATATAATTATTTGTTGATTTGATGTGGGTCTGGCATCCTCATAAGAGGACAATGAACTTGTCTCTTTTGGCCCCCTGTCATGTCCCCAGTGAGCCTGGCACAAAACAGGGGAATAGAAACGATTTTCTTCCTTTTTCTTTTCCTTTTTTTTTTAAGACTTTATTTATTTGAGAGAGAGAGAGAGAGAGACTGAGAGTAGAGCAGACTCCTCACTGAGCAGGGAGCCCGATGTGGAACTCGATCCCAGGACTCCGGGATCATGACCTGAGCCGAAGGCAGACGCTCAACTGACTGAGCCACCCAGGCGCCCCTGAAAACTATTTTCTGAGTGGAGAGGTGACAGGCTCTTGGGTGCTCAGTCAGGGGAGACCACTCGCAGGTTAGAAGGGTGCCAGTGAGGGATCGGGAGAGGGGCCCCGAATGGCTTTGTTGGTCCCATTCAGGTGGTGGAAACAGCTCTGGCATCCAAGTTGGACAGACCTGGGGTCAAATTCCATTTTTCCAGGTGGGCAGATGTTATCATGTGCCTTGGATCTCAGTGTAAAACGAGGGGGTGACACCAATTAGGCTGCTGTGGGGTCAAGAAAAGCCCTGACTGCTGAAAATACCGCCTGCTCTAGAACCCAACACCTAGAGCCTGAAGCCTTGCCCACAGGATAGGCTTGCCCCAGAGGCACCTCCCGCCCCGTGCTGCCTGCATGCAGGAAGGGAACTCAGACCCCCGCGGCCCAGCCCAAGGCGCCCAGCATGAGCCAGCCTCAGCACTGATGTGCTCAGAGGGAGACTCTGGGGCTTGGGACCATCCTCTGGAGCTTATTTACAAAACGGCCCCATCCTCCACCCCCGTTCCTGTTTTAGGATCAACTGAGGGCAGGGGACAAGTCAGGCCCTCGAGTGTCAGTGGGTGGCAATCCCCACAGTTTGCGTATCTCCTACTTTCATAAATGGCGCCAGATGCCTCTGCCTGCTGAGCACTTCTGTTCTGTGCCCCGGGCAGGACCGCCACTACTGTCCCAGACCTGCCCGGCAGCCTCTCCCCTGTGCCCATCACTCCAGCCAGGAAGTAGAGGGGGGCGGCCAAGAACATGGGCTCTGAATTAGACAGACGTGGCCTCGAGTCCCTGCTCAGCTGTACAGCCCCAGATGGATGACTCAACCCCCTTGAGCCTCAGTTTCCTTGTCTGTAAGCAGGCCGTCTCTGTCCCCCCGGGGTGTGACGGGTAGGAATCTGCGAGGTAATAAGGCAGGTCGCATGTTCAGCCCTTCGGGAGCGGGCAGGAATGCCGGTTCTCCTGGGATTATCAGGCATCCAGGAGGGAGTAACGGAGCCTCTCATCTTCCCGGCCCAGGTGGAGAAAGAGAACTTTGTGATCCAAGAACTGAAAAACCACCTGCACCAGGTGCTCAAGCTCTCAGAGAACAGCCTTCTTCGCACCAAGCAGGAGGCCGAGAAGCAGCAGAAGGCCGACTTCCGGGCCTCACAGGCCAGGGTGGCCAAGATCCAGCAGGAGTTACTGACCCTGAGGTCCCAATACCACAACCTGGTTGTGGAAAACCGGGAGGCAGAGCAGGCGCTGAGGAAGGTGCCCGGGACGGCAGGGAGCAGGGGGGAGGGGGGAGGACAAGGGAGGCCCCGGGGCAGGGGAGCGGCGTAGAGACTGGCCCATCCTGCAGTATACTGGCTGTGTGACCTTGGGCAAGTTCCTTAACTCCCCCCAGCCCCCACCCCCCCCCCCCCCCCCCCCCCCAGCCCCCCCCCTCCCCCCCCCCCCCCGCCAGGGGTGATAATACCCACCTTGTCGCACGAAGGACGTGCAGGTGCTCATACACCTCTGGCGAATTTCATAATGCCCTCCAGCCGCAGTTTTGCCATCTTTAAGATGAAAGTGATCAGATTGGGCTAACGGGTTTGTTGGAGGAATAATGAGAACCCAATAGGAAGTGTTCAGTAAATGTCATCTCTTCTTTTGTCTCTCCACCATCTCCACAGAGTCCCACCGTGCACACACCCAGCTTGCTTCCAGATCTCTTTCCTCACAAAGGGCACCTTTTCTAACCCTTGTTCCCAGTTCTCTTTCAATGTCACGGCTCTTGAGCATTTGGTGGAAGCCGTGGGCCTCTCCTCCTTAAGGAGGCACAGATGCACCTACACACAACTGGTGGATGATTCTTGGGGACACAGGCCCCCTGACGCCAGCCTGTCCATGGTGTCCAAGGGAAGAGCTCTTGCTCTATAGGATTAGGGAGCTGGTTTCTTTCTTTCTTTTTTATTGAGGTGAAATTCATATAATATAAAATTAATCACTGTAAAGGGAACAATTCGGTGGCATTTGGTACCTTCACAGTGTTGTACAACCCCCACCTCTGGATAGTTCCTGAACATTTCCGTCCCCCCAGATAAAACCCTGGACCCATTAGCAGCCACTCCCCTTTCCCCCTTCTCCTGCCCCTGGCAACTGCCAATCTGCTTTCCATCTCTATGGATTTGCCTGTTCTGGACTCTTCATGTAAATGGAATCACACAATATGTGGTCTTTTGTGTCTGGTTTCTTTCACTTAGCATCATGTTTTCAAGCTTCATCCACGTGAGCATTTATCAATTCTTCATTCCTTTCTATGGCTGAGTAACATTCCATGGTATGTATGGGAGCTGATCTTTTACAAACAAATTAGATTATGTCCCTTTCCTACATCTCAATCCAACCAGTGGCTTCCCCTCTCCGTTACACTAGAATCTAAACTCCTTCCCCTGCTGACACTTCCTTCCATGACACAGCTTCTCACTCTGACCTCCATGGGATCCCGCTCCTCCTCAGCCACTCCATTCCGGCCACACTGGCTCAACGTCTATTCTTAAACACCACAAGCCTGTTCCTACCTCAGGGCCTTTGCACTTGCTACTCCCTCTGCCTAGAATGTTCTGGAGTCAGACCTCTGGCTTCCAATTCCAGGCTCTACCACTTGTTAGCTCTGTGATCTTGGGCAAATGAGTTAGCACATTTGATCCTCAGTTTCCTCATCTGTGAAATGGAGGAGAACCTACCTTGTTGGGCAGATTTGGTGGGCAAGGCGTTAACCCTAGTGTAGAGCAAGCTTGGTGCAGTTTACTATTCATATTAATCCATCAAACACTGACTCATTGAATTTTTTTAGAAGAAATATAAAGTGGAGACGGAAATCGAGAACTGGATCCAGAAGTATGATATGGAGATGGGTGAGAAGCAGGTATTTGTGCTGCAATCAGTTTCTCGAGTGCATTGCCCATGATCCTCTAGGAATGGTCCATAGTCTGTGCCAAGCTCTGGGCCTCCCCAGACAGGCTTCCCTGCCCCTTTCCTTAGGCCTCAGGTTTGTCTGGCCTGGGGCAGCAAAGAGAGAGATGGAAAAGGAAGGAGCCAGAAGCTGGAAGCTACTAAGTGCTTGTCACTAGGCCCAACGATCTTGGCTCCATCTAGTGTCCACATCCCATACTCTCAGTCCCTTCCGTGCTCAGCTCCTGCCAGCCGCACAGCCGGGGCTCCTTCCCTGCAGACTCAGGATGAACTTGCCTCCCCTACTTCACTCAGTCACCCAGAAAGTTTCCACTGTGGGCCTGAGATGTGCCACGTGCTGGGATAGCGCAGTGAAGATGGCCCCCATTATCACCTGGAGGCTCTACTCTAGTGTCACCTGTCAGCTGGGTGACCTGAAGCAAGGGGCTTGACCTTTCAGAGCTTGCTTCTGCCTGTGATCAACAGAGGCAGTAAGGACCGTGCTGGGACCGTGATGGGGATGCGGTGAGGCACCATTGTCACAAATGCTTGCCCCCAGCACGGGATCTGGCCTGGAGGAAGTGCTGAGGCAATGGTGGCCTGGAAAACAGGGTGCCCTCAAGCCCATTCCCCCCCCCTCCCCAGCTTTGTGATAACACTGGGGCCCCTGGTCCCGGCTTCAGGGCCGGGAAGGTTTGGCAAGCACTGGGGATGACATCAGCCTCTGAGTGGTCCCAAGTCAGGGGAAGGGCAAGTCGGGGTCTTGCTCTCTCTGATCATGAATGCTCCAGGGAGGAGGGACTTCAGAGGCCATGCTCTTGTTTCTCCGGTCCCAGTGAGGGTGGTGGGTTCCTCGTCAGCAGAGACCGAGTCTACTCAGCTGTTTGCTTCTGGCAGATGCTTGGTAAGTGAGTGGAAGGGAGAGAGGGAGACAGGTGTAGATTGCAGCAGGAGGCAATAGTTGGACATGGGGAAGAACTGGGACTCAGTCACCTGAGAAAGTCCCACTCTGGATCTTTGTGAGACACGCAGCTTTAGTGACAGGCGTTCCATTTTTTTTTTTTAAAGATTTTATTTATTTATTTGACACAGTGAGAGAGAGAGAGAGAGAGAGAGAGATCACAAGCAGGGGGAGCAGCAGGCAGAGGGAGAGGGAGAAGCAGGCTCCCCGCAGAGCAAGGAGCCCGATGCGGGACTCGATCCCAGGACTCCGGAATCGTGACCGGAGCCGAAGGCAGCCGCTTAACCGACTGAGCCACCCAGGCGCCCCTCCATTTTTTTTTTTTTAAGATTTATTTATTTATTTGAAAAAGAGAGAGAGCGTGAGTGAGGGGAGGGGCAGAGGGAGAGGGAGAGAATCCCAAGCAGACTCCCCGCTGAGCACAGACCCTGAGGCAGGCCTCGATCTCACGACCTTGAGATCATGACCTGAGCTGAAATCGAGAGTTGGATGCTTAACCGACTGAGCCACCCAGGCGCCCCAGAGCTTGCATTTATATGTCCCCACTATGTGCCTGGCACCACATCCAGCACATTGTGTCCACCCCATCATTTAATCCTGTAGAAAGCTCCCACCCACTTCCTGGGTTTGGAATTGTCCCCATGTCTCAGAGGACAAATGAAGCCCCCTCAGGGCACAGCCAAGCTGGGATGCGAAACCCAGTCTGCCCAGCCCACCGGCCTGGGTTCTTTCCTTCTTCCTGAGATGATTTTAGTCAGGTCCCACCTCAAGTGGGGATGGACCACATCACCTCTCCTGTTCTCATCCGGGCCTCGGATGCAGAAAAGGTAGTGCAGACGGCGCTGTTGGGGTGGAAGCCCCTTTGGGATGGGGTGAGGGCGCATGTGGGGGAGGGTGGCAGGTGGCGCCCTATGCTTGGTGATCCCCACCCCCTGACCCTCATCCCAGGAAGAGTACGAGGAGCTTGACATCATCCATAAGGAGGAGAAGGTCCAGCTGGAGGAGCTGAAGCAGAAGCACAATGTACTAGTGGAGGAGTTCTCCCAGATCCAGGCCGAGCGGGAGGTCAATGCCAAGAAGAGAATAGAGGCCGAGCAAGAGATGCTGCGCATGGTGCGGGCTGCCACACTCATCCAGGCTTTGTGGAAGGGCTACCTGGTCCGCTCCATGCTCAAGTCCAGGAAGAAGAAGCGGAGCAAGAGCAAAGGGAGGGTCAAGGAGAAGGGCAAAGGCAAGGGCAAGGCCAAGGCCAAAGCCAAGGCCAAGGCCAAGAAATGAGTCCCCCCCTGGGGCCCCTGCTCCTGGCCTGTGCCACCACACCGCTCACTTCCCAGAGAGCAGGCTGGGAGGCCACAAGGAGGGGGAGCCTTGCCATTCCTGGCTTGAACGGTTTGTCAAAGTTAAAAGCCATTTTAAAGCACATCCTATAAATAAACGTCAGTTTGCCAGCGCTGCTGGCTGTTTGTGTCACCATACATGTCGATGCCTTTCCCATGGGGACAGCATGCAGGCCAGGGTGTCAGCACAGAGCTATTCCTTCCTTTAGCCTCAGTGGGAAGCCAGACCGCGGGCTGCAGCCTTCTTGGCCCCAGACTCCGGGCCATGGCTGTAGTGGACATACGTATCAGCCACCGGGGCGGCGGGCTGTGCTCACAGCTGCCTGCAGGAGGTTGGGGGGCGGTGGGGGGCGCGCGGGGCGGGCAGGCAGAGAACTCCAGGAGAATCAGGTTTTCGGGTCGGGGCTGTCCTAGAGAAATTCAGCTTTCTGCTTTTTCTGGAAATATCTCATCCAGACACCCTGGGGTCCGCCCATCTTCGAGAGCCGAGCAGCAGCCCCTTTTAGATGGCAGACACTGCAGCTTGCCCCAGTCCCCACCACTCCCAGCTGCCTCCCAAACACACGGCCTGTGCCAGTTGCCCCAGTACCATCACACTTGGGCCGTCGCCCTCTTTAGTGTACTCGGGAGGAGAGGCATTTCTGGTTCATCTATTATGACATAGGGCGAGGAGATAAAGGCAGAGGAGAGCTGGGTGTCTCCGGTGAAACCAAGGAGGAAACTAATTCTTCGTGAAAATTCTAGTTTAAACATCCTACATACGTACAAAGTGTTTGTGCCAGGGTGCGGCTGGCTTGCTTGGCTCATGGCCCACCTGACCCCTGTAAGCGTCTGCATGGGTGTCCCTGGTCCTGGCCACTGCTGGTCCCTCCCAGACTGCTCCCCCCACACGTCCGCTCTCCCTCTCCTGGAAGTGGAGGTACAAAACCAATGATGTGGCTTCCAACTGGGCTCTCTAGAATCCCAGTGCTTCCTGGAGGTGCACTGGAGTAAGTGGGGACACGAAGAGGCCAAAGCCTAGCCCCCACCCAAATCCAGCAGGATCCTGGGATTCTGAGTGTAACCCCATCCGAGCAGAATAAGTGACCTGACCCAGGGCAGTGCAGACGACAAGCAGCAGAGCCAGACAGCAGGGCGCTCCCGGACTGCTTACGCCTCTCTGTTCTGAGTGCTCTCCAGATGCCATGTGTAACTTTCTGGCCTTCTTGGACTTCACTTGGCAGAGTCCTCCTCGTCACTCTGTTTTTTGGGAAAATGTGGGAAATGTAGGAGGCCCATGTCCTCAAACTTCAGTTGTCAACTCGCGACAGTTATGATTTCTGCCACTTCCTCATTGTATTTATCTTTGTTATTTAATTCTACTCAGGCCTTTACTGGCCTTGCCCTGAGGAAAATAAAATTAGTCAGTCATGGCTTTGATGAGCTACTGATATATTTTTAATATGTGAAAATAAATACATGATTATTAAAAATAAAAACATGTCCACCCACGCGTCACCCAGATCCTCTGTTCCCCATGGTCCGTTCGCTGTGCCTGGGAAAACTCCAGACTCAGCTGGAAACTCATCCTGAGCAGGAAGCTTGGCTTGAAGGAAGAAGGGACCCTCCAGGTTGGCGATCGTGCCATTTATTCACACTTGGCAACAAGACGATGCTGTGGGAGTGATGGGGGAGTGGTGGGCCCCTCCCAGGGGCACCCCTGGGTCGGCACTCACTCGGCCTGTGGCTATAGCAAAACTGGAACAGGCATCTCAAGGGGCAGGCATCAAATCATGGAGTAAAAGGTAGGAAGAAACTGGTGGATGTCAGCATAAAGGGGAGCACTGTCCACTCTTGCTATGTCTGCTCCCCTGAGCGCTTCTCCAATGCCTCATGGTTACCTGGGAGACTCTGAAACTGGGCCCCTCACCGTGACCCCATGGGCAAACCTGATGAGAGGACCAAGAAACTCATTTCCAAGGGGGCTTTGGTTTCTGGGTGGCCCCACCTCGTTGGGGGGTGGCTGGCACTGAAATACGAACTGAGCGAGCCCTGGGCGTCACTTGAGGGTTCTGGAAGGTCACCCCCGACAGGGAAGGCCTGGGAACCCGAGGCCCATTGGTGTGGGGGGCACTGGCAGGTGGGCAACCAGTGCTGGGGACATTCAGGTGTGTAAGGGAATGGGAACGTTCCCGCCTCCGAGGGTGTAGAGAGTCTAACCCATCTGTGTACAGCTTCTGGGAGTCTGCCACCACCTCGGGCTCTGTCTTCGAGGGACCAGCTGGGTGAATGGCTCGCAGCGGGGTCTCCCTGGGGCGGGGCGAGTGGCTGCCCCTAGGGGTGGCTGGGGGTGTCCAGAAGAGGGCCTGGAGTTTGGCAGCATCCCCCTTTGCCATCCACGGGCCCTCCCAGCTGGTGCCCTCGGGTCGGGAGCCAAATAGCGACTCATCACAGTAAGAAGGAGTGTGGCTGATCAGTCTGGAAAAGGGAAGAGAAATGCAGTGAGCTGGGGGAATGAACAAACCCTAAAAACCTTAAGCCCCCACCTGCTGCCAGGCACCTCCAGTAGCAGAGAGGGTTGCCTGTAGATCCCAAAGTCCCTGTCTCCCAGCCTGGCACCCACAGCGAGGCCACAGCCCTCTGGTGTCCCACCACCCCCATCTCTGTTGTTTTTTCCCCTGCCACACAGCCAGTCCCCCGCATCCTGACTGCCCCCTTTTCCAGGCCTGGCCAATTTGCATATTCCATCTTCCTGGCCACACTGATTGGCTTGGGAAAGGCCATATGACCCATCCTGTCCAATGAGCGCCTGCCTTAGGACCCTTGTTGAAACTACCAGGAAAGATGTCTGTCTGCCAACTGGCCTTGAGAAGCCAGCAGGATAGAAGGGCAGCTGGTGGCTGGCTCGGATGCGACGTGTCGGGGCAAGCTGTGCTAAGAGGGAGACAGGATCCAACCACAGTTTGAGCCCCTGATAAACAAGCCCTAAACATCCTTTTTCCGCTGAAGCCAGTTTGGGTAAGTCTTCCACGTCACTTGCATGTAAGAGTCCCAATAAGTATAACCTTAATCTTTACAGGTCTTTACCTTATTTTTTTTTTTTTTTTTTTTTTTTACCCCCAATTCTCCTTCTCCCTAGTGGCCTTGTCAGACGAACCCTCTGCAGTCCTGTGGCCCGTCCCACTGTATTTGAAATGATACAGCGCGGTGCCTGGACTCGAGAGGGCGCTCAGTTTGAACCTGTGTTATAACGCTGACCTGGCCTCATCACCAGAGAAGCTTTTTAAATTTTTGAATATTTACTGAGGGCTCTTCATGTGCAGGCCCAGAACTCAGCACGTCATATGCATCATCTCATTATCTCTCACAAATATCCACAGGAGGGAGATACGATAATCCCACTTTACAAATAAGACAAGGAGGCATAGGGAGAGGAAGGCCCCCTATAATAAGGAGGGTATAGAGACAAGATTCAAATCCAGCCTGACTCAAGGGCCCAAGCTCCAGGAGCAGCATATCGGATCTAAGTGACTTCTAGGCTTCTCACCTTTAATTAGATTCACTCAGCAATTATTTTTTTCTATTAATCTCACAAATATTCATGGCACACCTATGAGGTGTCAGCTCCATGGCTTTTCGTCAGGACTGACAGTGCTTCTGTGTTCAAACTGCAAGTCTTTGAAAAGTCAACTTTTTGCCGCTTCAAACCACATTTGCTTGCTGCCTATGTCTGTCCGGCGCCAAAGGTTTTACTCAACAGCATCTCTCTCTCTCTTATGTACATTCTCACTTGACAACTTCTACTTGTCAGCATCTTGCACAAAAGTCCCACCCTCCAGGAGAGCATGGAGTTGACCTCCCTCGTCATGGACACCATACCTCTGTTAATGCAGCCCACACTTACTTAACATTAGCATTTTTAGCTACCCTGTAGGTGTCAACGCTGCTAACGCCAACCTGACCCTACCTTACAGCCCCCACATCAGATGCATGGCGCTCAAGCTGGCATAATAATAACGGAGCCTTGCTTTTCTCTCATTGAACTTTATCTCCTTAAATAGGCACCATTCCCATTTTCACTTCTCTCTACCAACCTATGCCCCTCCTAGCTCAGAATGAACCCTAAATATGATTGGCTAATTGTTACGGATTGAACTATGTCCTCCCAAAATTCACACTGAATTTTAAAGAGATAACTAGGCTTCAATGAGGTCATAAAGGTGGGTTCTGAAGCAACAGGACTGGTGTCCTTATAAGGGGGGAGACACCAGGAATGCACATGCTCACAGAGAAGAGGCCATGCGAGAACAGGGCGAGAAGGTGGCTGTCTGTAAGCCAAGGAGAGGCTTCAGCCTGCTAGCTCCTAGAACTGGGACTTTTAGCCTCCGGAACTGTGAGAAAACTAATTTCTGTTGTTTAAGCTCCCCAGTCTATGGTATTTTATTATGGCAGCTGTAAATGACTAATATTCCAGTCTTCTGTGTTTTTGTCCAAACCACCGATAACAATAAACAAGATAGAGCTCTGTGGCCCACCACTAGACACCTCCCTCCATGCTGGTATCAACCTGAAATAATCCAAATAATCTAATTTATTAATTTACAATAGTAACTATTAGCATCAACTCCTGTTTTTCTAGCTTGTTCGTGAAAAGGCAGCAAAACCATTTCTGAAACGACTTGCTAAAACTGGGACCCACCACATCTATGTCATTTCACGGATCAACCATATTAACATTCTTATGCAAATTGCTCTGTGATCTTGGGCAAATCACCTGACTCCCCTGGGCCTCACTTGCTTGGTCTGTGGCGTTTGGAAATGGTGTTCAACCATTGTCACTATCACTGAGCGCTTCCTGTCAGGGTATCGTGCCAAGCCCCGTACACACCTCATTTCATTTCCTCTCAATAGTCCCACTAGGTTCCATTTTCCACAACAGGAAACTGTAGCTCAGAGAGGTCAAGGTACTTGCCCAAAGTCACACAGCATGTCAACAGCAGGGTTCTAATAGGAACCCAGGTGGCTTCATGAGTACAGAAGTGTATCTCCCCATCCTGTTACCTGTATTTGTTCTTCTTCCTTGGTGTGAGGGTTGGGGTGCTGCCCCTGGAGGAGGTGGTCTTGCAGCTCCCGTTGGCCCCTGAGGCCCGTGATGTCCCTGTGCCCACTCCACTGGTTCTGTTGGCCTTTTCCACCCAGGGTGGGTCAAAGTCTGGTGGTGTGGGCCGGGTAGCCGCAGGGCTGCCAAACAAAGACTCATCCACGTAGGATGCCCTGGCCTTGACCCGGTGGCTGCCCCGGCAATGGTGCTGAAGATGGAGAGTCTGCATCCCACTGACGGCCAGCTCCACAGGGGTCTTCACGCTGCCCATGGTTCCGTGTGATAGCACACATGCTTTGCCTGCCAGGTCCTGTCTCCAGGGCTCCCTGTAAAAGGGGGTCAGGGTGGCACCCCTGTCATTGTTGGTGCCAGCACAGGAAGATGGGCTCTTAAGTTCCCAACCCAAGGACAAAAGGGGAGCTGCCAAACCCAGGGGACACTTCAGAAATTTGTTCATCTGTCTTTTGGCTGTCACAACAACAGGGAGAGGAGCGCTACTGGCAAATATTTAATGAATAAATGTGCACTCCTAGCATACAGTGCTCAATGTTGAATGGGGGATGAAAAAGAGATGGGGCCTGTGCCTGTTTTGGCACCATCGAGAAAACTTAGCATAGTGGGATGCGGGAGACAGGGCAGGTCCTTATATCCTGTATACGTTTATGGGGTGAATAGCCAGCATTATCGCATGCCTACCTTGTGCAAAAAGCTTCACAAGCATTGTTTCACGTAATCCTCTTAACAGTCCTTCGAAGTAGCTTCGGTTATGTCCATTCCACAGATGACAAAACTGAGGCTTCAGAAGCCGAAGTCACACCTGTAAGTCGCACCTAATAAAGCTAAAACAGTGGAAGAAAAACCTCAACCTGACAAAGGAGCGCAGAGCTTATACACTTAACCATTCTACTACTGGAGGGTCACACCCATCCCTCCAACTGCCCCATATTCCCTGTTCCCCAAGTCAACGCCCCGATTGATGTTCGAGGTCCCTGCAATCTTGAGTTATTTTCTTACCTGAGCATCTCAGCTCCAGCATGTCTGCTGCAACCTCAGCGCCCCCTCCTCACCAGGTCTGAACTCCTCTGAAGATGCCACCGAGATCCCAGCTTATCTGCAGCCCGGACCCCGGGAACCCCGGGAGCCCAGGCACCTCGGGCCGTCCCCAGCCCCCACCCCCCCGCCTCAGCCGCAGCCCCGGGAACCGAGGGGATGGACTCAGGGGGCAGCCAGGCCCTAAAGACGTGTGCTCGGCGCGCGCAGCCCACGGCAACCAGCGAGGGGCGGGACGGCGCGGCCGGAACCATTGGCACGGGGGAGTGCACCCCGTTCCGGACGCCCCTGCAGTTTCCCCGAAGCCTCGGAGATGACACTCTCACGCCAGTCAGAGGTGTGCCCGCGCGTGCGCGCCAATCCTCCTGGGGCTACAGAAGGGGCGGTGGCGCAGGCGGGGCCGCATAGACGCGGTGCTCCCCCCGCCCAGCCGCGCCGTTGGTACGTCCCCGCAGGCCCCGCCCCCTCCCCGGTTCCCTGCACCGGGGCCCGCATGGCGGCCGGCACGCGCCCGGGGGCCGGACCTCGGTCCCGCGCTGCCATGGCCCAGTGGAGGAAAAAGAAGGGGCTGCGGAAGCGCCGAGGCGCAGCCTCCCAGGCCCGCAGCAGCGACTCGGAGGACGGCGAGTTTGAGATCCAGGCGGAAGATGACGCCCGGGCCCAGAAGGTAGGAGTGCGGGGCCGGGGCACACTTAGGAGCCCGGGCCCCGGCTCCGCGCATCGCCCCGCGGCCTCGGTTTCCCCAGCTGGGGAGTGGGCACGGCTGAGGGTGGGGAGAGGTCGGCTGGCTGGGGGTCGGGGACAGGACCGCCAGCCTGAGCACGTGTCTCCGTGCCCGTCACGCCCCGGCTGCCGACGCTAGAGCCTCTGCATTCAGGGGCCGGGGCCCTCGGGCCTTCCTGGCCGGCTTTTGGTCGTCGCCCCTCATTGGCTACCTCCTGCCCAAGGGGCGGGTCCTAGCTCCCTTTGGCCCAATGAAAAGTGCGGGTGCCGAAGCACTGACTTCCAAGAGTTTGGGGGATTCTTGCCGGGTTGAATTAAGCGGAGGCCGGGCCCCTTGGCTTGAGAGTGACGCCCCCAAGACCCTGGATAACTGATAGTAAATTAAACTCGCGTTTGCTGACCGCTTAGTATGTGCCAGGCTCCACGCTAAGAACTTTACAAGCCTTACCATGTAATCCTCATACCAGCTCTGTGAGCTAAGTGCTGCCATCTCCATTTTCCAGAGGACCCTGAGGTCTAGAGGGGTTAAGGAACTTGACCAAGACTTCACAGCTTGTGAGCGGAAGAGCCAGGATTCAAATCTCTGGTTCCAGGGCCCGTGCTGTTTCCACTACTGAGTGCCAACTATATGTAAAAGGTGGAGGGTCGGGTGTGAGCACCAAGGGGGCAAAAGAGCTAAAAGCCCATTATTTCCCACAGCCCTGTGCCCAGCCGGTGCCTGGCACAGAGTGGGTCTGGGTAGGTGGATGAAAGAGTGAGTGTTTAGATGAAGAGAGGGATCTACGGTTCTCCAGGTCGGGGACCAGACTGGATCTGATTATGTTTCCCCACCCCAAGGGAGCCAGTGCTTGGCGTACAGTAGGTGCTCTGTAAACGTGGAGAAATTGCTAAAGCACAGGAGGGCAAGGTAGTAGGTGCCAAAGAAGAGCCCACGGATATGGTTCCGATGACGAGCTTTGCCCTGGTGCGGTCGGTCCTGTGTTCAAATGTGGCCCAACCCTGTACTGGCTGTGGGACTTTGGAGACGTTGCTTAACCTCTCTGTGCCACATCTGTAGAAGGCAGAAGTTTACACATGCGTACAAGACAGAGGATTATATGTGCCTCAGAGACTCATGAAAGGATTAAATTACGGTGTTCACGCATTCTACTCCTTCAGTAAATATTGCTGGGGCACCAGTGGGTTCCAGGTACTTTGTTTTCACACGTCTAGAACAGAGGTTGGCAAACTTTTCCTGTTAAGGACCAGGTGGTAAATATTTTAGGCTTTGTGGGGCCATATAAAGTCATTGTCTTCTTTGATGTTTTTACAATCTTTTAAATGTATAAAATCCATTCTTAGCTCACAGACTGCACTAGACACACTGCAGCTCTCACCCAGACAGTTGTAGGGGGCCACAGAGGGTCACAGACGAAAGAACATAGATTCTGAAGCCACGGTTCAAATCCCTGCTGGTTGTGTGAGTGTGGACAGGTTACTTCGTCACTCTGTGCCTCAGTTTCCTTCTCTGTAAAATGGACAAACTAATAGTCCCTACTTCATAGAGTAGCCGTGAGGATTAAAAGCGGGGTAATTTTATATGAATGCTCAGAGCATCACCTGGCTTAGAGCGAGGGCCACAGAAGTTTTAACCATAATTATGAATTAGTGCTCCATAAGTGTTATTTCTGAGAGGAAGGGGGACAGCTCTGTGGTCTGCGAAGTCTCCCCAGAGGAGGTATCTGGGTTGGATATAGCCATGCTAGGACAAGTAGGTCCTGGCTAGGCAGGAAGGAGGCTGCACTAGAGAGAGCAGAGCTGGGAGGGGTGATGGATCAGAAGGGGGCTCGGGAGAGGGGGACAGGGCAGCTTGGAGAAGTCTAGTACCACACACACAGTACATGCTTTGATTGGCCCTCTAGAGTTTTTAATTTTGAGGGTTTTGGATGATAGACCAGGATGACAGTGATGATAGTACCACCATTTATGTGCTGGGTGCTGATCTAGGCTTTACACTTACCCATTTAGTCTTCACACACGCTGTGAGACAAACGCTCTTGTCTGTCATCCCTGTTTCCCAGATGGGGAAACAGACTCGGGAAGATGAAGTCTCTCGCCTGAGGTCTCACAACTGGCAAGTGATTGAAACGTAGGCAGTCTGTCTGCACGGCCCACTCTCTGACCCTTTGCCCTGCCCGGGCCCAGTCATGGGGAGCCCTTTAGCAGAGAAGTCACGTGATCTGGTGGGGGCATCATCGGCTTGAATGGAAGGGTGCCCACAACAAGATAGTCCCTCTCCCTTCCCGCAGTGGTCTGATTGTGCCTGGCGTGACGCTGCCTCTCTGTTCCTCCCTCCCAGCTGGGACCTGGCAGACCCCTGCCCACCTTCCCCACCTCGGAGTGCACCTCAGACGTGGAGCCAGACACGCGGGAGATGGTACGCGCCCAGAACAAGAAAAAGAAGAAGTCCGGAGGCTTCCAGTCCATGGGTGGGTGAGCCAGGCATCCGAGAACTTTGGGGGAGTCACAGCAGGGGCTCATCATGCCCTCTGGGCTCTGGTACTGATGTCTGCTTGAGGCCCAGCTCTGTGGTAGGCATCGGGTAGACTGAGGACTGACCCAGTGAGAGAGCAGATAAAGCAGACTCAGGGCAGCGCTGGCGACAGAACAGGTGAGGACGTTCAGGGATTTACTGCAGGACAAAACACATTTCAGAGGAGAGGGAGGAAAGGTGAAGTAGTGGGTGGTATCGGGACACCTGGCTAGCGGGAAGGAACGCTGAATGAACTCTCTTTCTTGCTCTTTACAAATTAGTAGCATCTGGCACAAAGATTAAATATCAAGGTGAATATTTTTATAATTTTAAAAAGAAGCCCTTTCTAAGTATGATCTGAACATTGTCTGATTTAACTTTTTTTCAGTTAGATGTATATTTACAGGAAAACAGTGTAAACTAAGTTAAAGTAAATGCTGTATCAGGGACGTACTTGCAACTTTGGGGGCAGATAGAGGATGAACATCTGTAGTATACAAAGAGCTTTTACAAATCAGTAAGAAAAAGATACCCTGATGGAAAACTGGGTGAAGAAAATGAAAAGTCGACTCACAAAAGGAATTTGGATGGCGAATTAATATATTAAAACTGCTAAACTTTTATCAATAATTAGAGAAAAAGCAAATAAAAACATCTACACGTGGCTACTTTTCACCTTTCCAGATCATAAAGATGAAGGGTTGACCAAAAAGCAGCTACAACCGCCGTGCATCCTGCCCCCAGGCCTCCCATTGTCCTCCCATTTCCATAACGCCAAGTCACGTTCAGTATCCAAAGGCCACCTCCTTCCCCACACAGGGCCACGTGCCTCAATTGGTCAGCACCCATACGCACGCCCATCTCAGGCCCTGGCCACTTCCCACCCTTTTCTTTTAGCTATAAAAAATTTCAAACATTTAGGGCGCCTGGGTGGCTCAGTTGGTTAAGTGACTGCCTTCGGCTCAGGTCATGATGCTGGAGTCCCGGGATCGGGTCCCGCATCGGGCTCCCTGCTCGGCGGGGAGTCTGCTTCTCCCTCTGACCCTCCCCTCTCATGCTCTTTCTCTATCTCATTCTCTCTCTCAAATAAATAAATAAAATCTTAAAAAAAAAAAATTTCAAACATTTAAAAAAAATAGAAAACAGTAAGTCTCCCTGTACCCATTGCCATTGTCAACTGTCCCGTTTCCTCCACAAACCGCCCCCCACCCCAGCTTGTCCCCAGCATCCTGGAGGATTCTGATGCAAATCACAGACATCCCTTCTCTGTATCCCTGAATACTTCCCACATGACCTTACCACGCCTGCAACAGGCACAGATCCTCAGCAGGGCTGAGACCCCGCCACTTTGAGACCCCAAGTTGTCTCACGAGTGTGTTCAAGTCAGAATCCACATGAGGTGTATCCCCCCCAGGGGGTAGGTTTGTCTCCTAAGTTTTGTTCTGTCGCCGTTCTTTTCTTCTTGCTTTTGACGTTGATGACACGGTCACCCGTCCTGGTTGGCTTTCCGTGGTGTGCCGCGGGGGCTGCCCTCCCCCTGACCATCCCTGTGTCTCTCTCCCAGGCTTGAGCTACCCGGTGTTCAAGGGCATCATGAAGAAGGGCTACAAGGTGCCAACACCCATCCAGAGGAAGGTATGAGACGGGGAAAGGTTAATGGGGTTTGGGAGGAAGGGATGACCGACTTGGCCCTCCTGTCCAGCCTCGCGATCCCCACCCCCTGTCTGGGCTGTCACATCTGTCTCCCCTGACTCTGGCTGAAGCCCCCCACAGCTGGTCCTTTTCCCAGGTGGAGAAAGTTGGCCTCTTTGCCATTTGAGCTTCCCCAAGGCTGCCCACTGCTGAACCCCTGCCCAGGCAGCTCGCAGGCACCCCATTATCACCCCTGCGTCGTGAGCGTTGTCCTCAGACAGTTAGCCAAGAGGTGGACAGTGATTCTCTGGGGTCCCGAGGAGGAGGATCAGACAGGGAGTTAGAGTCTGGCTTTACCTAAAGAGGGGTGTGTCCCAGCTGTGGAAAGGGTTGGGAATAGTGAGCTGCTCATCCCTGGAAGGGTACAAATAAGGCTTGGCAGGAATGGGCGCAGGACTGGGCAACAGACCCCTAACCACTTACCGAGACCCCGAGTTTGCCCACTCCCTGGGGGCTCGGTGCTCTGGATCGTGTGGTGCAGGGGGCAGGAGCGGACCCTGCCCCTCCCCCACCCACTTCCCTCCAGACCATCCCGGTGATCCTGGATGGCAAGGACGTGGTGGCCATGGCCCGGACCGGCAGCGGCAAGACGGCCTGCTTCCTCATCCCTATGTTCGAGCGGCTCAAGACCCGTAGCGCCCAGAGTGGGGCTCGTGCCCTTGTCCTCTCGCCCACCCGCGAGCTGGCCCTGCAGACCATGAAGTTCACCAAGGAGGTGTGCTGGGGCCGGCGCCGCTGGGCTGAGCTGGGGCCGGTCGGGGAGGCCTGTGCGGGCTAAGTCATCTCTCTCTCTCTCCCCCCCCCCCCCCCCCCCCCCCCCCCCCCCCCC